TTTGTAGAACTTTCTTCGGGATATGTATGGGCATGAACGATATGAATGACACGATAATAACACTATTAACAACAGCTTTCTTTCTTAAAAGTCATGATTGAATTTAATTGGTGTTTTCCACGAGTAAAGGGCTAGCAAAGTAGTCACACAAGTCATATAATTTAATAATAAAACTCTATCCCGAACGATGTATCGATTTTGGTCACGGGAAGAGATCTAAAGAAATATACAGCATTTGCCGAACAACTCACTGCTTTACTCTCTACACATTATTCTTAACTTGTCAAGTGAATAAAAACGTACTTGTCTCGTTGATCAACATAGTTTTACCACTGGCAATTCGCATATTTATGTGATTGGTATAGTCCGCCATATTGGAATAGCCGACAATTTCCGAAAACTGCTCAACTCGGAAACTCGTTCCTAGTACTCCTCGGTTGTCCTTGTGAGCGGTAGGATTTAGGCGCAACCAAAAACCATGGGTAAACCATGAACCGCGCTCGGCCCATGGCCGCGCGGTTAATAATAGCTTCAGCGTGAGAGCGCAAGATTGAATTCGATGCGTGAGCCTCATGTTGAATGCGTGAGACTTCAGAGCACTGTGTCGGTTTTTTAAAAATAAACAAAAGTATTACGATACGAGTAGCTTCGTTTTAATCGAACAAGGTCAAATTTCCCGACACAACTCCTCTGAGACGAGATTCCGACAGGCGACATAGGAATCTTGCGAAATGCCGATATGGCTGGTGGCGAATTTCAGACAGGGGACATGGGTAACCCCCCTAACAGGGCCTCGGTTATGTGCAAGATGGAAAAGCATTGCATTGGCGAGGTAAACGAGATTTTTGAAAGATATTGTTTCAACAAAAGGGACAAGCTTCCTACGGAAACGGTTGACAATTTCGTCGCTGATTTGAAGACCTTGGCTAAAACCTGCAATCTCTGCGTTTGTTTGCGTGACAGTCTCATACGCGATCGTATCTTACTTGGAATAAAGAACAAGCAAGCTATCTTTAAAACGGAGAACGGGGAATCGGAAAATGAGAATGGGGAACGGGGAACGGGGAACGGGGAACGGGGAACGGGGAACGGGGAATCTTTAAAATGGGGAATCTTTAAAAGCGGGAATCTTTAAAATGGGGAATCTTTAAAGCGGGAATCTTTAACATGGGGAATATTTAATAGCGTTAATCTTTACAGAAAAGTAAACGAGAATCTCTCAGTTTCTCACCGGAAGCTATTTATTCTGTCACATGTATCAACTCCACAGGTACAGGGGCAGTTGTGGAATTTATTCATTGTGATTATATTGCACGTTATTAAAGCACATCGGTTTAGCGGGATAGTGGAGCGGTCCAAATCTCGATTCTCACTCTTTGAGATCCGCTAGACCGACCAAAGAATCGAACCGTCTGGATTTATCTTAACTCCGGACTGTAACGTTTTTAAATTGAATTTCACAGCGATGGATATTTGTCGTAGTCTTATCATGTGCTAATGGAAGGACTTACGACTTAACGACAAATATATGGCAGGGAAAACACGTTTTTGGTTGTTTAATCAACAGTCCCCTAAATCTGGTTTTCGCATGACGTCGCTAAAATTCAAACTATAAAACTATTAATCATCCTGAGATTTTACTTTCATGATGTGTAAGAGCAGCTGAAAACTATTAGTCATACAAATTTTTGCTCCAAGTGGGTTCTTGGTTTTGTAATAGACCACGCTTGAATTTCTAAGCTTTTGCGTGACGCGGCATTTACATGACT